CTTGTTTTGAACCTGAAAAAAACTAACAGCAGGGATGTGGTTTAAATGTGTTTTTTTTTTTTTTTTTTTTTTGTAGGCTAACTTGAAGTTAGCATCACCCTGGTTCCCTTGACAAAAACCCAATAAGATTTGTCCAGTGTCTTTTGGATTACTGCCAAAAATAAGCAAAAGTATATGATTCTTATATGTTTTATACATCATGATAATCTTCACAAGCCTAAATACAGTCGCCAGAAGTAAGAGCTAAATGTAGGCCAAGTGCTAAAATGCTAACTTGTTTCCGGGTTTTGGCCTATGAAAATATGTCATCCCTGCAGCACTCTATAATGCATCAAACATCAAATATCATCTGACTGGCTACAAACAAACAGTTTCGCATTCAGTGCAGGCAGACAGATTGCTTATTGCTGGAAACTTGTTGCGTATAGCATCTGGTTAGAAGACAGTGTAACTCAAGACAAATTCTAACAAATAAAAGGAAAAACAACCAAATATTTGTGGGCAAGTTGAGACATAGTAGCCTACCTTAGTAAAAATCCACTGACATGTGAACTTGATAGTGTTGCTAAAACATGACCCCACACCCCCGGCAATGAGGAACTGCACAAATTCCACAGATAGAAGTGAAGAATTCACTGTGCTTTATCTGCTCTCAGTTTGTTTCTCTCAAATCTGCTGAGTGCGCATGGACTTTCCATGGGCTGAACCATCATTAAATGGTCATACATGTTGAAAGCATGTAATTTAAGCAGTCTCTAAACAACCTGGAGACAGGCAAGTTTTTTGTACAACAGTCAAGATTGTTTATTGTAGAGCAGTGGAACCTCTCAGTGATGACAAACTGGCCTCGAGTCTACTTAGGGGGCGACGGAGGTGGAAGAAAAACACCCGGCTGTCTCAGGTTCAAAAGGAGTCAAGGGTGAAAGGTTAAAGCCTAAATCAACAAAACAGACCCCTTGAGCCAAAGTAAACACACACATATCCCCATTTCAAACCAAAACTCAGCAGACAGTCTATGTTTTTCACCTTCTAAAAACATTTAATAGATCAATTCTGTATAACCAATAGGGTTGTGCCGATAGACGATAGTATGGTGTATCGACGATAGACAGCGATATCGCCTGTGGCTGATGCCTTTGACAATAGCAAGACAATTATTATTATTATTATTATTATTATCAGGCTAGTGATACTATCTAATTAATATTAGGGCTTATTTGTTACATTATATTTCTTTTTCCGCGTTTTTACAGTATTGCGCGTTCTAACCAATCACACACGATTATGCTGAGCTTATGAATGCAATGGCCAATCAGAGGCGTTCAGATGAGTCATCGATGAAACAGCAGAGTTCCGTTGTTCAGCGCGCCGCTGACTGAATTCTGACTCGCGAATTCTCTCATTATAAACAACAAAGTGCAGATGTAAGTATAAGAGATGTATACATCATATAGTGTAGATTCACTGAGTTTAAACTCGCGCTAGACTGAGCTTGTTATAATGTTCTTTGCTCGTTTTCTGTAGCCGCTTTTTGAATAACTGAGGTAAATGTAAGCATTATAATTAGTAACTTACGATGTTTCTATTAATTTGTTATCATGTTAAATACAAATTCAGTCATATTAAAAACATTAGGCTGCTTTTAGCCTTACGCTGGAGTTGGTTCACTTTCTCGCAATGAAACTAGTAAATAATTACATAAATTAGCACGATAATATCGTGTATCAGCGATCTCATAGGCTGACAATAGGACGATATGAAAATTGAGCATATCGCTCAACACTAATAACCAACAAACAAATCCTACACAAATCAATCTAAAGTCTTGGGTTTGTTAAATTTTTTTACGTTTTTGAAAGAAGTCTCTTATGCTCACCAAGGCTACATTTATTTAATCAAAAATACAGTAAAAACGGGAATATTCTGAAATATTATTGACATTTAAAATATGTTTTCAATTTTAATATTTTAATGTGATGGCTGAATTTTGAGATTTCAGTGTCACGTGATCCTTCAGAAATCATTCTGTTATGCTGATTTGGTGCTCAAGAAACATTCCTTATTATTATTAAACTTGAGAAAACAGATGAACTGCTTAATATTTTTGTGGAAACAGTGATTCTTTTTTCAGGATTCTTTGATGAATAGAAAGTTAATTTGCATTATATACATCTTTACTGTCAACTTTAATACATTTAATGTGTCCTTTAAAAAAACAATCATAGAAATACTATGAACGCATGACCCACTTTTGTAACCAAATGCAGTCAGTATTTAATAAGAGGTGGAGGTGCTAAGTACAAACAAGACGGCTCAGGTTGCTGATGTAATAGTACATAAGTGCATATTAGCAGCTGAAACTGCTATAAGCATAGAGTCAAAGCCAAGTCCTGAAAGAAACAGCCAAAACATCATTATTTTCAACAAACAACCCAACTATTAATCTAGCTTTAGATCCTGTGAAATACTGCTCCATAATTGCGGTGGCTCTAACAGCTAAATTAAACTGAAACCTTTCTGAAAAAATCTGTCATTATTTACTCATCAACATTTGGAACTGTAACTACTGTACATGAGGGTATTTTCATAGGACACAAAAGAAGAGTTTTGATGGGGGGGAAATATTGGGTGAACTGTTCCTTTAAGACCAATTCAAAAAAAGATCAAATGTGACTGCACTATTGAGGGACTGTGCTAAGAAATCTTTGCTTGTAATACATCCACACACGCATCTCATTTTAACAAAAGCCCAAATCATAGAACCTTTTCTTAACCAGACATTCCTCATGCCTGGGTGTATTTTACAGCATCCACCTGCATGTAGTGAAACATGTGAAAATGGAAGTCCATTCAGAGACCCATTGGAACGTCTTCAGAATTACCTCTGTAGCCACATGTGTTCCATATAAAACAAAGGTGTCTCTTTCCAAACCTCGTCACGTTGTGCAAATTTTTTTTACATTTTTATGATACCTTCCTGACAGATATATGCCTCTCATCAGCTGAGAAACAAAAATAACTGGGAATTATTTTACTTAAGGCAGCAGTCTCATGCATTCAAACATCAGGCATTTGTGCCTGTGGGAAGACCTGCCATGTTCTAAACAATACAGACGAACTATTAGTTTAATGCCTACATTTGTAATATCGAATATCCAACATTTGGGAATATAAAAGGAAGAAATGTGAATGGAAGAAACACCATAAACAAAAAACATACTATTTTCACAGCATGTGCATCTGTAGGTCAATAGGTCAGTGGGTAAAAACATGATACAGTAATGCTGAAACAAAACACAGAGACCCTGAGCCAGTGAGAAGCCTTTGGGGGAAATCCAAAAGAAAAGAGCTGACATGTCAGTGCAAGATGAAGGTTTGGAGAGAGTTGGAGAGTTGCCTGGCATCATGCCATCTCCATAGGGTTTCTGAGGATAACCTCTTTGTTGTCAGCCAAATCTTTCTCTCTGGGGCATCCGGATGATGTCAGATCCCTTACATTCATCAGCACAGCCGGCATCAAGAGCGAAGCATCATGCGTTTCCAAAATACACCCAAAATGACTTTCTACATTTGGATAACTGTTTTCTACTGACTCAGCAAGCCACAGAAATACAGCCAAGAGCACTTCCTACCATCCTGCTTTTCTGGCTTGGCTTTTTATTTCCAGTGCAACTACGATCCAAACATCCTGGCTGCATGGGTCTCATTGTCTCTCTGAAGCGTGCCTTTGTCGAGAGAAAAATTACCAACAAGAAATTCCAATCTGTTACAAGGACATTTTCTGGCACATTAAAGTAGGCCACAACTAGAGATAAATAAATGAACATGCCAGAGGAAACCGGACTAGTGTAAATATTTACCCGCAAAAACCTCCAAAGATCTGCATGCATTGGGGTTGATATACAAAAAAAAAATTGTTTAGTGGGAAAATGATGTTGATGGAAGATGTTCATGTAGAGAAAAGTGTAGTGCATCCGAGGTAGACCATTAGTGCCTAAATCTAAGTCTAGGGAAGCAAAATACTACTGCTTTTGAATCTTTTAATAGTTCCTACTTGTTCTACCCGAAAGGGATGACAACCAGCTAATATCAATGTGTGAAAGTCAACTGCACTGTAACATTTGATGCATTGCCAGGAACAACAATGAACTTCAAATAAAGGTATTTCAAGAGCATAAGTTCTCTTGCATTGTAATTTCTGTAGAGATAGGAAACAGCTGTCGAGAGGTTCTATATCTAAAGCTCAGGTGACTGGAAAAACGGTGGTTTGAATCAGAAATAGGTACATCAGGGTTTCTGGTGTCAGTCATGCTCTTGTTTGTGCCTATGGGCAAGAAACCTAAACCAAACGGCTCCACAGGTGGTGTGTTGCAACTGACCCTGACCTATAAGCTCCAATCTAAACTTGTATGTCCTTTTCTTTCATATGTTGAGATTGGGTCATAAGGATAACCCAAACTGAATAATTGGTGCTGATTAACAAGGATGACTAGAATGAGTAAGAAAATGAATGAATGGATGGAAAGATAGATGCATATAGTGGTAATAGATAGATAGATAGATAGATAGATAGATAGATAGATAGATAGATCTAGCAATCTAGCATGGTAATAGATAGATAGATAGATAGATAGATAGATAGATAGATAGATCGATCTAGCAATCTAGCAATCTGGATCCTTCCATTTTCCCCTCTGTCAGCAAACACAGGGTTTGTTATCCTGCTCAGCGTGCCAGATGACTTGCCCCTGCCTGCATAATCTCCTGCTCCGGCTTTGTCAACATTCAAGGACAAATTGACAGCACAAGCTCTGCATAAGAGCTGCCTCTCTACATTCAAACGTACACAGTTTGTCTTTAAAAATGTCTGGAGCTGGTTTGATTGCAGATGCCATTCCTGTTTGATTGGCAAAGTGTGTCAAGGCAAACATACAATAAAATTAAGCTGCTCTTTATAGCCAGATGCTTTGACAGCATGCAATGTTTCATTGTCATTTTGTGGTAATGCTTTGTGTGTCTGTGGCTATTCAGCATTCGAAAAAGGTAGACAAAAGACGGTGTTCAGTTGTTCTCTACCCTGTTACAACTACTCATTTCAGCTCTTTTATTCACAGATATGTGTTTTTAGCCTAATATTTTCCCTGGCAAAATCTCTGTATGGATCTTTGCCAACTGGGTTAAAACAGCCATCTGTAGTTGTCCACTTCCTCTAAGCCTTACAAGCCCTCTCTTTCTTTGTGCAGAACAAAGTTCTTACAGCCAGATTTCAGTTCTTCGAAGATCAGCAGGA